GCTTAATGAGCTAACAAGTTTGGTCTAAAGCATTGCTACAGGTATGTCTTTACAAGCTAAAGTGTGTGGGATTTGTGCCTTTCCTGGACATCTAACCAATATATTTCCCACACTACAAGAAGGAGCTCAAGAGCGAGTAAATGCAATTGGAGGATTTCCTTGACAACCTAAAGGATGTATGATCCTTATTCAAACACGTATAATCCGGGATGGAGTGATCATCCAAATTTTAGCTAGGGAGCAAGACAACAAAATTCTCATCAATACCAATATGAAACACCTTAACAACAGTCAAAAGGGTCCAAAAGCAGGTATGTCCCTTGAAGATATTGTTAAATCTCTTGCAATTAACACTCAACAATTTCAGCAATAGACTAGGGCTAGCATTCAAAATCTAGAAAATCAAGTAAGCCAACTTGCAACCTCTTTGAGCAGATTGGAGTCCCAAGGGAATTTATCTTCTCAAACTTATTAACCTCAAGCAAAATGAAAGTGCAATCACTTTGAGAAATCAATTGGAGTTGGGAATTCTAGCCCCAATGAAAAGTGACAATAGCTTGAGGAAAGATGCCAAAAAGGAAGTAGAGATTCAATATAGTAGACATACTGCAAAATCAAAAGTAAATTTGCCCAGACCAGTCGTAACTAAGCCCCCTTTTCTTGAAAGATTGGCTAAATCAAAGAAGGATAAGGAAGAAAAAGAAATCCTAAAAACTTTGTGCAAAGTGGTGGTGAATGTACCATTACTCGATGCAATTAAACAAGTTCCCCGCTATGTAAAGTTTGTAAAGGAACTTTGTACGAATAAGAAGAAGTTGGTTGGTTATCAAAAAGTAAGTGTGGGGGACAATGTTTTCGCTATGTTGCAAAGAAAATTGCCCCCTAAATGCAAAGACCGAGGTATGTTTTCTATTCCATGTAAAATAGGCAATTTTGGAATAAAAAAAGGTATATGTGACTTAGGCTCTTCAATAAATGTTATGCCATTGTCTATTTACTCTTCTTTAAATGTTGGTCCATCAAAAGAAACATCTGTTGTAATTCAATTGGTGGACAGGTCCATGGTTTACCTCGAAGGGGTATTAGAGGATGTTTTAGTATAAGAAGGTGGGTTGATTTTTCGAGCTGACTTTTATGTCCATGATATGGAGGATGATAAATCATCTACTTTATCATAACTTTTACTTGGAAGACCATTTCTTAGCACAACTAGAGCAAAAATTGATGCTCATGATGGTACACTCACTATGCAATTTGATGGAGAAATAGTTAAATTTAATGTGTATGATGATCCATATGACGTGCTTAGTGTTTATGGTGTTGATGTTATTGATCCTCTAGCTCCCAAGATGAAGAAAATTACTTTGGAAGACCCAGAAGGGGTTGATCAAAGTCTGAGAATGTCTAGCCTGGGACATCAAACAAGGGCGCCTATTGGGAGGCAACCCAATTTTTAGGCTTGCCCAATCCTAATTTCTATAGCTTTATTTTGTTTTTAGATTATTTTATTTTAGTCATCTTCTTCCTAAGTTACTCTAGTGTAGTCTGTTCTTATCTTTTTTGGGCTGCCAATGAATTTCCGATGATGGTGAAAAACTTAAAGAGAGGCTTTAATGGTTAATGTTTATTTTTATGGTGGTAATTTTTTTTAAGAGAGTTATTTAATTGTTAAAATATTTTTAATCTGTTTTTCTTTTAAATGATTTATCATCCTTATTTACTTTATCATTAGTTGTAGTGTGTTTTCACTTTTATTATTTTTACTTTTATGGGAGATAACAAAAGAGAGAGGACAAACAGAAATAGCAAGAGAACCCCAGCTCCTCTACTCTACCAGCGCCGTCATTGTCTACACCTCCACAGGCACAACTTCCACTATTGCTTTCTCTCCATCAAAGCCGCTCCAAAGCCACATCCTGCGATTCAGAAGATCTAGGAGCCTTGTCATCGCCATCACAGTTAGAGCCTTCATCTCCTCTTGCCGCCGAGCCACACTTCACCACTAGCTTAGAAAGAGGCAACAACAACCTCCTCCACAGGGGAGTTTCTCCAATCTTTAATAATTTCTTTTTAGTTTTTCTCAATTATTTACTTGTCAGAAACTGTCTTATGCTTGATTGATGATTCTACATTGAGGACAATGTGAGGAGTAAGTGTGGGGGAAGAGTCTGGTTTATATATATATATAATTTTGAATTCCTATACATGCAAAAAAAATTATGATTTGTTATATTATAATTTGAATATTGAAATTTCCATAGCCATCTTATTTTCTTCAAAATACTTGAAATTAAAAAAAATAAAAAATAAAAGATATTATCTTGACAATTAATCTTATAATCCAAATAAAATTTAAACTTTTATTAATAAAATATATAATAAAATGGAGAAAGAAAAGAGAAAAGGAAGCGCAAGTAAAGGATGTGGCGGAGAAGAGATATGCAGTGAAAATAGCTTCTGAATTTTGGTACAACTTTAGAAACGGATAAAATTCCGTTGCTAATTGTTATTGACTCCCAGCAAGTGCGGAAAAAATTATTTGTGCTATAACTTTAGAAACTTATAAAAATTTCGTTTCTAAGACGTTCACAGAATCCTTTATCAACTTTTAGCAACAGAAAAATAATGAAACAAGATTTGCTAATTAATAAAAATAATATGATTAAAGAAACTAATATAATCAATCTAATTAAAATTATTATATATTTTAATCGATAAGTTAAATTAAAATTTTCATAATTAGAGTGTCCCTCTCTTTAAGATATTTCATGATAATGCTATTTAAGAGGGAAAGTTTATAAGCTTGTAATTATTTATGATTACTAAATAATTACAGTTAATCTATAAATTTAAATTATAAGAACTATAAATAAAAATTATTCTATTAATTTGTAAATAGAGTTAAGTTTAGATTTTATAAATAAAAATTATTCTATTAATTTGTAAATAGAGAGAGAGTTAAGGTTATATTTACCGCAGGAAGAAGATATAACTACAAACTCAATAATTCAAATTAACAAAAACTTGATGTAACAATTTTTGATTGTCAAAAGTAATAAATTATTGATAGCCAAAAGCAATTAAAACTAAACGTATATATAGTCCCTACTTAGAATGATATTAAATTTATAATATTAATATAATAAAAATAATAAATTGATATCATAATCAGAATATAATTAGTAATGATATTTTTGTCAATTTATAAACTTAATAGGGGCATTTCAAGAACCCAATATTCCCCTCGTTCGTTCTTTTATATATATATTCCTTTTGTATTGTATTTCTCAATGGTTAACTTAAAATGTAAATATTTTAATTCATCTTGTAGTAGTTTTTATACTAACTAGACGATTTTATTGATTTAATAAAATATTTAATTAAAAAGTAAATTGTTAAATCTAAAATTACGTGCTTAATTGAAATTATCAGAGAGTAATAAAATTTAATCGGAATAATCTAAAAGCTAATATATCATTTTTAAATTGAAAATTATTTAAATCTAAATTCTATTAGCTATAAATAAAATAAAAAATTATTCCAATCCAAATATAATATAAAAATCACTAAATTGTTTTTACTTGGCTAAGCTTAAAAACTCCTTATATCCTTCCACAAATTTTCTTTTTTTTTTTTTTTAATTTCATTTTCAGTTTTTACAAGTAGGCATTTGGCATTTGTACAGAGTAAATAACTATTTAGTTCTGGAGGTATTATGAAATTCATTACCTCGTCTCTCTATTTTGGAGAACCATTTGAAATGTCTCTGAGTTTAATTTCTATCAAACTAAGAGGTCTTTGAGTCCCTAAAGAGAGCATTTTACCGTGAGTCAATTAAAAAAAAATCTGTATTTAACAATGAAAGAAGAAAAATTAAGCTCAAAAATATACCTTTACCCTTATTGAATATCTACAAAGATAAAACTAAACAAAGTAAAGGCAAAAAAAAAAAAAAAAAATTTGAGTTAATTCTAGATAAATATAAATTAGCCATGAAAAAGGTGTTTGGATTTTGATTCTATTTACAAAATCATTCAAATTTATTAAACAATTTACTCTTTAGAACTTAGAACTGTGGAAGGAAAAATGATAAAGTTAAGGGATTGAATTGTTTAAAGCCTACCTTGATCATTTCACTCTAAATTGTTATGAGCTTGCTGAAAATACAATTGTCTATATACAGTTTAGAGAATGGGTTTCAATTGCTACAACAAAGGTTCTTGTCAGTGAGAGTAATGTCAGTTGTCTGTTTACAAGCGAGGGGGAGCTCATGCTCAGCTTCTCTGCCTTGGTCCTTGCCCGTACCTAGCTTCTCGGCCAGATCTTTTGTTTTCCCATGCTTTTGTCACGCCTTTGTCCCTACATCTACCAATAGAAATTAGATTCAACCAGATCCTAACCTTTGAAGACTAAAATTAGAAAATTGCATGTTATTTCAACAACCAAATGGACCATGCCTTAAAACATATCTTAATGCTTCCCTTTCACTTAATTTTTTCCTCTCTTCTTTGTTTTTCGATCGCAAAAGTTTTCAAATTTACAAGTTTCTCAAATGGATCAAACAAAAAACCAACACCCAGATCCTATATTAGAGAGAAATAAAGAAATAAGCTTTTTGTAGTGATTCTTGTATTCAAATATCATTTCGAAATCAATTTCGATAAATTTGATTATTGTAATTGAAATCGTCAGCCATCACAAACAAATCTGATGGAAAATAAGGGTAAATTTATCATTTTCTCCTAATTAATTTTGAAAAGGGTCTCTTTCCCAATTGATGTTATAACTTTATCTGTAACATTAAATTTAAGGACATTATAATTAGTTCTCCAAAATAAAGGGACGAGATAATAAATTTGGTAATACTTCAGGGACTAAATAGTTGTTTACCCTTTGCAATATATAATGCACGAGTTTTGCATTTGACTATTATTTTCCTGGCTTTTTATACCAATGCAAATAATTCTCATTTTGACGAATTGTTATTATTATTACTATTATTATTATTCTTAATTTCCAACTTATACCAAAAACAATTCAAACACCCAAAAAATTACATTTTCCCCTTTCTCTCACTTTCTCTCTCCACCATCCATATTTTCAGTTTTCGCCCCCAGCGTTGATGGATCCGTCCCGATTTTTCATCGGCGGCAACCCACCCCCGCCACCACCGCCACGACAATTACAATCAAAGCCGCCACAACCACCGCCGCCAAAAAAAAGGAACCAAATCCAAGGCCCTCGTCCTACCGCACTTAAAGTCCACCAAGACTCTCACAAAATCAAGAAACCCCCACTTCCTCCACCACAGCAACCTGTAATCATCTACGCTGTCTCTCCAAAAGTTATCCACACGGAGGTTTCCGACTTCATGGCCGTCGTCCAACGCCTGACAGGATTATCCTCCGGTGACTTCTCCGGTGACGGCGAAATATCACCAGCAGCAAGATTAGCTGTTACAGAGAAAGCAAGTCCAAGAGAAAGAAACTCTAACACTAACTGTGATGAAGGTAATAATGATCTAATGGATATGATAGGAGAAGTGGAAATAAGTCAATTTCCGGGAATCTTATCTCCGGCGCCAGAGACGTTGTCTCCGGTATCATCTGGATTCTTTTCTCCGGTAATAGATCCAAATTTCTTCAATGATGTGATGAGTAGTCCGTTTGGAAATAGTAGTTTTGTGGTTAGTCCTTCTGGGTTGTTACCAACTTCTAGTTTAGTTTCTCCTTTACCTTCACCGGACATCTTCAACTTGTTAATGGATTTTTAGGCAAGAGAAGAAATTGTTGACTTCGAAAATGGGGTTGACTGATGTTTGATTGCTTGACGAAGTGAATTAGAAGAAATGTAGAAAATTTATTAATTTCAGTTTTTTCTTTTTAATTTTTGATTTTTGATTTTTGATTTTTGTTTGTGGCTGTTATTATTTTTGTTATAGGGGAGCTAGGACGTAGTTATGGGTTGGGCATTGATAACTCTGATTCCAATTGTACGAACTATTCAGGTTTTGTAATTTGTATTAATAAAATTTAATTAATTTTATTAGTAAATAAGGTTGAATATTCCTGTAATTTTATAAAAAAAAAGAAAAAGAAAAAGAAAAAGAAAAAGGTTGAATGTTCCTGTAGTATACCCATTTAGCTAACTACAGAATGGGAGGATCTTTATGATACTCAATTTAATTCCTTACGATTTGATTAAAATGGTATTGGATATTAATTAAATAAGTTTGATATAATAAATATTAAATTTATTGGTTTTACCATTAAGGCATGTCATAGAATTATTATTGAAATTAGAACGATTTTGGTTCTGTTTTGTTTTGATAAACAAAAAGATATATAATATTTATACTTTTAATTTTTAGAATTATCATATACTATGAAATTAGATTAAATATAAATTATAAATTATAAAGATCAGTAATAAAAAAATCTGCGCAATGTGCAAGTGTTCAACTAGTTTATTTAAAATTATAAGTTTTGGTATTATAATAATAATATTTAAATAATTTCAAATTAAAAAATTGTCGCAAATCTATTGATCTTAAGTTTCTTTGGTGAAGAATAAAGATAAAAAGGCATAGCTAAGTGAATATCTAGATAAATGAAAAAAGAAAGTATTTAATCAGGTTATATATTTTAAAATTTTAAAGTTTCAGTATGGATTATAAATTTTAAACTTTTTTTAATGAAAATTTTGTCAAAAATTTACTATATATTCCAAAGCATATAGTATATACTATATAATTTCCTAAATATGTATATATTGATGGGAGCCGGGAATTAAGCAGCGGAAATTATCCAAGATTAAATCAAGTACGAAAGTAAATCACATACAAATGACACAATAATGAATCTGTTGTCGTGCATATTTGCTCACTGATATTCTTTTCAGATATCTTCAAGTCACCCTGCAGCCTTCTGCTATGTAACTTTAATTGATTCTATGAATCTCATTTTTCTGAGTGGGCTAAAAAACACAGTACGTTTGTTTCTAGAGAGACTATTGCGTTTTTTTTTTTTCTTCTAAATATTCTACTATCTCTAGCGTGTATTCGAAAGTCAATAACATATCTTATCCGAGTGGGAAGTAAACGATAAGATCAAACGTTTTGTTATCAATGTGGTTAATAATTTAAATAAAATAGATTATCCCTTTTTAATTAAAATTAATAAATAAAATTTTAATTAAAAAATTAATCTATTAATAAATAAAGATTATCCCTTTTTAATTAAAATTAATAAATAAAATTTTAATTAAAAAATTAATCTATTAATTATTTAAAATATATAACCTACGTACAATCCAAATAATTAAGATACAGCATGAACCACATGAATAAATTAATAAGGCTACAAATTATAATAAGAATCCATATAGAACCAGTATATTCTTATTATAATTAATCATAAATTATTTTACTATAAATCCATGATTGAACTCTTTATCAATTTAACTTTTCATAACGTAATAACTTATGTTCCCCATATAAAGATTAGAGATACTTGTCAAATAAAATAAATCATTGACAATTTATTTAAATAACTATTTTCATCTTTAAGATTGTCGCTTAAGTTTTATGTGTCGGATTAAAAATCCATTTCCAAGGTTTACACAATGAAAATTTATAAGCTTACTTAAATGCATTATCATTCTCTAATCCGAGACATGGATTTTATCATTAATTAATATTTCACAAATACAAATTGTCTTTCCCTAATTCATTGAGAATTATTGTCCAGAGCACTCTTTAATGAATTAAAAGCACAAAGCAATGTTTACTTGATCATATTAATTAAATCAAGATTAAAAATATAAATCTTATTTCTAATGTCTTTCAAAAGTCAATATAAAACAACCGTTCTCTACTTGGTCCAGTTAGATACATACAAGATGTACTAACACTATTATTATAAAATATGCTGAAAAATTTATTCATTTAATTCAAATCTCCAATTAAATACATAAAAATAATTGTTCAAAGAAAAAAAAACATCTACATACTATTACATTCGCATGGTTAATATTATATCTCTATCGTATATCCCTCAATCAACACTAAATGAAAACTTTATTTATTTACTTATCATTAAAGCTATGCCTAAAGTCTCAACAAATATTTCATATTTTCATGTAATTATAAGTTAACAAATACTAAACACACGTCTTCTTCTATGTAATTATACATAGCAAATGTTAAGCTCAAATCAATTTTTTATATATGAAATTTGAGAATAACATTATCTTAGGTTTCATCTAAATTCATGAAAAATTAATTTTTTTTTATTTTTTATTTTTTATTTCAGGGTGGGCATGTGCCATGATTGTCTCTATGTGGCTCCGCCCCTGGATATAATGATATTAATCATTATATAAAAAACATAATATAATTACATGTTGAATTTTTTTTTTTTTTATATTGGAGAGGGAGATTCGAATTTGGATTTATTGCCGAGTCATATATGTACTTACCACTAGACTATGTGTATGCATAATTATATGTTGAATCTTAATATTGTGTTTGAAATAAATATTTTAAAAATTATTATAAATTATATTTCATTTTTTATAGTATTCAATTTTAAATTTTTTTATTCCAACATATATGCTTAATTATTTGATTAATTTCCAAGTTTGAAATTGTATATTAAAATATTAAATAATATTACATCTACATAAAATAAAATGATTTTAACTAAATTTAGAAAATAGGTATTTAGAACAAAGATTTGAAAACTAGCGAAAAACCTACTTCCTTAGTCTTTATTTTGAATTACAAACTGAACTTCATATATTTCAGCAAGTAGCATGATTACTTGAATATTAGTAATAAATTCAAATTAAAAACTTTGCCTCTGATATATTTAAAATTAAAATATTTAAGTGAATATAATAAAATCAATAAATGAAATGAAAAATAAATTCATATTTAGAAAAAAAAAACACGTATTATAATTTAATAAAAAAAAATTAGATCTACAATAAATTACAAAAAAATTAAATGGAAAATAAAAATCTAAGATGAATTCTTTTATCCTCTCCCAAAATCATAGATATAGTGTTTACTGTTGTATTCAGTGAAATTTAAGGATACATAATTGATTTGAAATCAAATTGAACCAACAAAATCAAAGATTGAATCGAAATTGAATTATATATAGAATCAAATTAAACTGAATTTATGAAAGAGTCCATCGAAGCTCCTGGTACCTAGTGCAAGATTTTTATGTAGAGTTCATAATAGCCTCCATTTCAAAATGGATCATTCAATAATTAATAAACCTTAATAGATGTTGAGGAAGATGAGATGCTAGTTGTAAAGGAGTGGGTCTCCTTTTGGTTGGGACATGGCTAGTGTGGATACAGATGCAAGCCACCCACAAACTTATCCTCAGATGCAAGCCACCCACAAACTTATCCTGGAAAGAACTGGGCTTTCATATTTAAAACCTCTTTGCTTTCCTGTAAGAGTTTGATTGAGCAAATGACTGAAGTTGCTCTGCTGGAAGTGATGAGGTCTGCTGTTTCATTGAATTCAGAAGTTATGGATGCAATTGGCGATATATAAATTCGCCCGCAATCCAGTGGCTTCGAGAAAAGATTTTGCATAAATCTTCGTAATTTTGTTCTTTGATTTTGGTTTTGATTAGTTTGTGAATTTTTTTTTCTTGATTAAAGAATTTGTTAAAGTTACAGCTACAACAGCTCTTGAAGCTAAAATTGATGCAAGTGTTGTTGACAGTTTTTGGATGTATTTGGTTAAAGTCATTTAGATTTTATTGTACTTTGTTGAAGTCAAGAAGTAGGTGAACTACCTTGCTTTTAGGTAGGTTTGGTGAACAAACTTCCTTGATTTATGGAAGGTTGGTGAACAAACTTTAGAATAAGTTTAGACTTTAGAATAAGTTTAGTATAAATATTTATATTATGCTGTAATGGAATTAATGAGATGTGAATATTTATTTCTCCACACTTATAAAATCTGCAGATTTTCCTTCTCTGCATAATTTTCATTCTCTTTCTTATTTTTCTGCGCTTCTAAACCAACAAGTGGTATCAGAGCAATCTTGATCTCAAAGGGCTGTGTGTGTTTTAGTGAAAATCATAGAGAAAGCCACCAAATAAACCATAATTTGTGAAGTTTTCTGTTTATTTATTTGTCCTCAAATGGCTTCCAGTAGCCTGTCTCTTTCACCACCTCATTTTAATGGGGAAAACTACCATGTTTGGGCTATGAAGATGAGAGCTTATTTCAAGGGGCTTGGATTATAGCAGTATGTGGAGGAAAACAGAGTACCTCCACCTCTTAATCAAAATCCAATCCTTCAGCAGATTAGACAACATGAAGAAGAAGCTCTGTCCTATATCCTGGCTGTTGAATTCCTTCTTCCAGATGTATGACATGTGGGACAGCAATGAGTTGGAAAGTTAAATTGGTATCATGGATTCTGAAAAATAGCGATGCGGTATTTAATTTTAGAATAGATTTGAATGTGAAAATGCTAGGCAATGAAGGTTGGAAGATTTGCTTGATAGAGTTATGAAATTTTTAACCAATTCGATTTAGTTGGGAGAGAAGGTTTAAGAAAGAATTGTGGAGAAAGTTATGGTGACTTCCCTTGAAATTTGAGCAAGATTTCGTCTCTTTGAAGGATACTTGTGACATGTCAAATATCCTTGAATGTGCTTTAAGCTCTACAAGCGTGGTAGCAAGAAGCCTATGAGGGAAGAAGAAACCATTGGAGCGAGGGTCTTGTTGTGATCATAAAACCAATGCAAGAAGGGTTCAAGGCCGCAACTTGACAGAAAACCAAAAATGAGAGAATTTCAGAAAAAAATGGAGAAAGGACAGATTTCCACCTTGTCCACATTGCAAAAAACAAACCAATTGAGAACTACTGCTGGTTCAGACCTGGAGTTAGTGTAAGGTTTGTAGCATTTTTGGTCAAATGAAGAAGTCAGAAGTTTGTTTCTACAAACAAAAATCACCACACAAGCCCATTCATGCAAAGATACCGAAATTCTTTTGAAAAGTATGAGAAAACTCTTTTCTGCAATG